CGGCAGGGTGCTGGAACGGGATTAGATTGGTTTTTCATGAACTCAGAGGCTTGTGGCGGCGGAACCCCCGATCTAGGTTTCTTTCTGGGGGTTTCGTGATTTATAGGAATATTTGGCGTCGGTTTCACGTTAGGGGGTCCACGAGGCAGGGGCAAGACAGGGGGCGCGCCCTAGGGGGGCGCCCTCCACCCTTGTGGATGCCTCGTGCCTCCTCTGGTCCATCTCCGATACTCATTGGGCTTTTTTTGGTCCATAAAAAATCGTTGTAAATTTTTAGCCCATTCCGAGAACTTCTATTTCTGCACAAAAAATGACACTATGGTAGTTCTACTGAATACAACGTCACTCCGAGTTAGTTCTAATCAAATCATATCAAAATCATATAAAATTGTTGTAAACATGGCATGAATACTTCATAAATTATAGATACGTTGGAGACGTATCAGCGACTCTGGTCCCTCCTTGCGGGCCTTGCCCTGCTCCTCGGTGGTGAACTTCCTCACTGGAGCCATGGTTGCTGCGGAGAGGATTGGAGGCAAACGGGCGAGAAGACAGAGCTAGGATGGGGCTCCACCCCCTCGCCTTCTTATAGAAAGTCGGAGAAGGCTAACCAGTGCCTTCCACCTTCGAGCAATGATGGCCCCGCTGTGTGCGCCAGGCTTTTGTCATCCTGGGCAGTTGCCGAGGCGGCGTGGGGAAGTGGAGGCATCCGCATCCCATTGTGCGCCACGCGTCAAGCCTGGCCCGCAGGCGATTGGGGCCCCTGTCGCTTCGCCCTGCACTCCTTGCTTTAGCTTCAAAGCCAGGCCGAGTGCGCCTTGGGCCCCGGGGCTACTGTCGGTGTTCTGGGAATGGGGGTACCCAGGCCCGCCTGCCTGTGGCCCAGTGCATGACTTCACCAGCGGCTCGGCGCGGCCCAGCTCCAAGGCTCCACTAGCAAGACCCTCGCGAGGCGAACGATGTCGAAACCTCCTGAAGGGCGGCCCCCCGAAGCTGCCTTCTGGGAGCCGGATATCTCTATGCAGGTACCTTACCTCACGAGGCTCGTGGTGGCTTGAGCCATGACGACCAAGGCTAGGCAGGTGCCAGCGGGTGCAGACCAGAGCAGTTTCCACTTCGGTGCTAAGGAAGCAAGGACAGGCACGGGTTCTCGAGGAATCTCCCAAAGGTTTCCATTCCGATGCAACAAGACCAAGACCATGGGCTCGGCAGGATGGAGGTCATCACCGAGCCCACAGCTGCATCATGACCAGGAGCTTTGCAGATGAAGACCACCTTTAGTCAGGATAGGATGTACTCTTGTCCCCGTTCAAAATTGGTCGTTGTGGTATTCCTTCCCACCAATGTTATGAGGGAAGAGAATTGGGCCTAGTATAAGTATAGGCTAGTCTCCAACGTAGAGAGGGATCGGCTCATCGCCACCCTGGTCGATTCATTCGCATCCTCTGAGCCCTCGCGAGGCAGCTCACCCACTATACTAGTTCATCCTCAACCTTCTCGCGAGGTCAATCCACCACAAAGCAAGAATAGGGTTTTACACCTCAAGTGGCCCAAACCTGGGTAAACCACTGTGTTCACTTCTTAGCCCGGCTCGCGCGTACTCAACGAGATTAGGCCTTGAGGGCGGCGGGCAGTGAAACATCATGAAGCGAGATCCTTCATACACGCCCAAGAGTTCGAACCTAGTTTGGGTCCGCGGAACCCTAGACTGCGACAACCGCCTCCTAGGAATTAGCATGTTGATGAAAAAAATCGGTGGTAGCATTACCCTCCCTGAGGTATAAAATATGTGATCACTGCCTTGCAATGGAGTGTTCCAATGAGTAGAGGCCCAAGAGTTTACGCTTGAGGAGCTTCTGCAAGTCTATTTCCGCGCCTAACAACAAACGTGATTCTGCCACTAAGTCCAAATGATGGATCACTTCTAATGCAATGCTGATTTGAAGTTTAATATTGTCAATCCATCTGTCACTCCAACTTTGCAAATGCTTCGCGGTGGGCCGTAGCTTAGCATCGAGGGCGACATAAGGATTGCCCGGCAAGGGGATGGACTGCCATGCCCCAGCTACCATGTAGTGAAACTCCACTGCTTTAGTCCAAATGCCTCAAATCTGAACCTTTTGCTCGTGTCAAAATCTGAACTCAGGTCGAGAAGTAAAGGGCAGTGATCAGACACCGTCGTGCCCAGAACCGAGAGGAAGCAAGTCGGATGCAAATCTTCCCAAGAGGTAGTAGATTAAACATGATCAATCTTTTCCTTGGTAGGTTGTTCCCTCTCATTCGATCACGTCTATTTCCGATCATTCAGGTATTGAAACGTGCCATCATCCGTCATCCGTCGGTTCACCACATTGTTCCAATCTATTAAGCAAGGCTTTGAAACGTGCCATCATCCGTTGGTTCACCACATTGTTCTTCTTCTCTTCCTGGTTCACAAGCAGACTGAAGTCCCCAAGTGCTGTCCAGGAGCCCACATGACGATCCCTCACTTGCACTAGTTCCTCAAGAAAAGCCATCTTATCCACGTCTCGCTGGGGACATATACTCTTCTAATCCACCATGTTGGCCCTCCCACCAACTTGACTAGCGTCATGATGGTATTTTCGGTGGTGCGATGGTTGGACAGAGCCATACCAACGAGTCCCACACAAATAAGATGCCACCCCTTGTCCTAATAGTCGGTAGGTACATAAAGTTCTCAAATCTGCTTACATGGAACCAAAACGGAAGTTGTTACCAAGGATATTGTCCGTCACTGTCCAGGGAATCACGGTAGACTATTGCAATTATGAATTTGACCTATGTGGTGAGAGAAGAAAAAATCATTCTGAATATTATCTTGATCTTAAAGTTATGAGACAAGGGGAGTTTTTTTGTCTATTTGAGATTGCTTTTTTTAGAATCACCGGGGGGAGTTTCCCCACCTGAATATATTACTCAAAGTGGCCAAATTGCCAGAGTGGTAATCCAGTTTATAAGGGAAACCAGATCGAAACCCTTAACAAATTGACCCCGTTTATAAGGGAAACCGGGCCGAAAACCTTACAAGGCACGGCCTAGCTGGCAGTCATAAGACCATCACCATGAGAGACACAAGTAGATGTGGGGTGTCATCGAGAGATCACAATACCAGGACTTTGCAAACAGCCGAACGCATCGGCGGGCATACCGGCCCCATGGCACAACTCAGGAGCATCCACAATAATGAGTGTCATCCCAGACACGAACCTTGAACGGGGCTCCGCCACAGAAAAATGGAACGAATAGCAGTTTGAGATCATCTTGCGCCATCCTTGAGCAAAGATGAGTCGATACAACACCAAGAGCACCAAGCTCGCCGCAGCACAACGGAACCATGAGAGGGTCTTGAGCAACCATTACCAACCTGAGCTGCATGAGAACACCACCACCGTAGACGAAGAGCTCCAATCAACCGAGACCATCCATGATGCCTCAAGGCTATTGGCGCAGCCGAAAGGCAACGAGCGACCGAGTCCACACCCGGACGAAGAGCCACACCCAGTCGAGTCTACATCACAACAGCGGCACTGCCGACGAAGCCGAAGGGCATCAAGGAGCCGAGTCTACATCCGCTTCTCCGAGCACACCAGCGCAAGCCAGCCGTGCCACCACCACCATCCAACCCGCAGTGAGTAGCCACCACACAATCCACCAAGCTGATGCCTTCAAGAAGGAATGCGACGCGAAAAGTGCAGCCATCGGCCGTTCCGGACGAACCAGGAACATGGGTTTCCCCAGGAGCCTCGAAGGGGAAGTCACCATGACAGCGATGCCTCCAAGGAGGTAAGCGGCACCCGCATGCGTCGCCATCGCCGGCTCCGGCAGGAGCAGTGGCTTTCGCCCAAGTGACCAGACCACCTCCAAGGAGCACCGGTAGACTGCGAATCGCTGCTCCCTGCACCACCACAGAGCAAGGGTCACTGCAGCCCGCCGCCGCACGTGACCAAATCCGGTCCATGGCAGGCCAGATTCAGCCCCAATCCACCTCACCTCACCAGCCGCACACGACGGTGCTCCCCGCAGCGAGCTGGCAGCACGTTGGACTGTGCGCGCAGCTGCACACGGCAGCCACCGGGCCATAGGAACGCCACAGCACCTGCCCAGAGACAGATCGAAGCGCCCCGGGCCAGCACCTAAACGGTCCGGCCAGATCCGTCATCGGTTGCACCTCCAACAGCCAGGCGGAAGAGACATCCACCCGCATCTCGCCCACAGGACCGAGCCATCTCGTGGAGGTCACGACCATGGCAACCCGCGCATAGTAGGCCCCCCCCCACCCCCACCCCCGCGCGGATCTGGAGAAAGGAGCGGCAGAGGACGAAGCGCGTTCAGGCGCACGCAAATCCGGCGATGCCCGGGCGCAGCAAGAGAAGGCAGAGACCGCGTGGCTGCGCGTGCCCGTAGAGCAAGACGACGACGCAGGACACGGTCGGGATGGAGCTGAAGCGGCTGTAATTGGATCCGGAGGGAGAGCTGCGTGCGCCCGTTTCGAGCAGCGGGCCTTCGCCGCCGTCGGCGGCGGCGGCGGCGAGGTGTGGGTGGAGGAGAGTGGGCCGGCGGCTAGGTTTTGGGGGCGCCCCGGTGTCGCCCCTCAGAGCGACACGGGAGCGGGATCCTCCAATTCTGGACTTTCTGATAGGTCTATTTGAGATTGCTTTAACCACGCTCGCCGTGTGGTGTGTGGATCAAATATAAATTTGAGAGAATTCATCACTACTACATATGTACATCGTGCCATAGTATCGTTGGAATTACTTCACAGATCTTTTGAATCTTCAGATTGCCTGACCAGCTCGGTATATGAAGTGGTCTTTGTTGTATCGTGAGAATGCTATGCTTCGAAGCCCTGCGAGTTCATACATTCAAGCACCTTAATTAAAGAGAAAAAAGAACACTTTTAAAGCACCCACTCACCCTCTTGCCAAAAGGCAGCCTGCAGTTACCCAACCGACCAAGGGCGCAAAGCCACCGGCGACATCATGGCCTCCGGCTCCGATCCCGACGCGCGCTACGCCGAGCTCGCCTCCCTCTCCGGTGAGAAGCTCGTGGACCTCCTCCGCACCACCCACCGCAGGGCCGACTTCGAAGCGGTCGCGCGCGTTCTCAGAGCGCGGGATCGGAGGATCGCCAAGGCTGAGGCCGCGCTCTCCGCCATCGACTCTCTGCGGAAGAAGTACAATGCGCTCCTGGACGAGCACCATCGCTCGCGGGGCGAGGCCGAAGAGATGGCGCCCCTGTTGGGTGCCGCGGCCCTTGACCAGGTGCGTAGGGACGAGCCGCGCGTCGAGGAGTTGGACGATGTGCCGCTGAATCGGCGTTTGAAGCGGCCGAGGCAAGGCGAGACCAGTGTTGTGGAATCGGTGAAGAGGATTGGACAGGGGCAGAGCAAGCCGGTCGCTACTCCGGAGATTTCGAAGCAGGGGCCGGGAATTGTGGCACCGGAGATGTTGGGTGGAGGAGGAATGCCCCGGACACAGACACTGCCTCTTCTTTCCCCGGGGCTTCTTCACAGGAGTGTTCTACTACCAAAGGTTTCGCCCCAAAGTGGCCATGGCAGAGCCAAATTTGGCAAGAAAGAAGGCTCATCTCATGGTGTCCTAGCAAGGGAAGTTAGTGAAGTACGCAGGGGAAATGGTAAAATTATCCAAACATCAAGGGCGGAATCATCATCCACATGTGCTAGCAAGATATCTGGGACTGCAACGAAAGAGTGCCGATCCCTTTGTAGACAGAGACAGACTGAGGAATGGAGGTTAGCAAAGGGAGGACTTCCAATGGAGGAGACAAGAATGGCCGCATCTCATCCTTCTCTGGGCATTCGCAGCCTCTCTGGGGCAGAGCTTCGACGATATTTTCTCAAGCCAGAACGAACTGCCCCAGCTTCTTCTATAGAAAAGAAAACGCAAAATTTCTGCGATTTGACCAAGAGAGGAAATGGCTTGTCTAAGAAACTTCAGGGTGTGTCCTCGAAAAATAAACTGCTGGGTGGAGACTGAAGAGCATCCAAAACGCAAAACGTACAGAAAATACTAATGTAGATGGGTCTACACAAATGTTAGTCCAGAGTAAAGCCTATCCAAACTGATTGAAGGGGCGAGGTTCATTCTTTGTAGTTGAAATTAAGAAATTATAAACTGCTTATGTAGATGGGTTTACTATGTGTGTTTTGCTCCACAGCTGCTGCTTGAATCAATCTGGTGAATCGGTATTGGGCCGAGTAATTTGCACTCTAGGCCCTCTGGATCCATCATTGAACATATAACGACGATTCGAAGCATAGGATTCACAACAATATAACAACTTGAGGGGTTACTATATTATATTCGTACATCACTATAATGTTTGTGTCCCTAAGTACCATTATGCAAAATACAGTGATATCTTTAGATTTGAACATTATTACGCTCCAGGTATTCTAAATGTGTTCTTTTTCTAGGAATGCACATTTTAGTGTCAAAGCTATTCCTTGTGCTCCTGCATAGAATCGATTAGACATAATGATAAATCCTGAAGCTACTGCACTTTTTATTAAATACTACTCCTCTGTCCGAAATTAATTGCCACTCAAACGAATGTATCTAGGGGGTAACTGATAGCGCCACCTCAAATCGATTAAGATGGTGCTCTTTTGGCTCTATTGTGGTTTGAAGATGAGTTCAAGTTGGTAACTTCAAACTATAATATAATAGTTGGGACTTATCTTCTTAGATGCCTCCCTTTTGAACACTACTCAGTAATTTGGTTGATTATTCCATGTTCTCGTTTTATACCACAAAGCTTATATGTGAGTTGATTTTCATATTTTTCATCCCCAAATCAAGGTGGTAACTCTTTTAGGACACATAATCCAGAAGTTTTTTTTTAATTATATTGATGTAGACTGCTTCCGTTGGTTAGTAAAGATGCGATTGTACCTCATGTGGTATGGTGCTTAACTTGGTCTTTGATGGGGACGCACATGTTCAGGTATAATGACACTATCAACGGATAGTAAAAGCATCATAAGGCCAAGGACACCCAAGTCCCATTCTCTTTGGTGTCAGCTAACGATGACCTTTTTTCCAAGAAAGTGATAACCCCAGCCTCTACATCAAACAATGCACACAACTAATTTATTAAATAAAATAAGCCTAAGTCCCTGAGTACAAAAAGGTTTACAGCAAACACGACCATACCAGTCGAAAACAAGATTACATGGCTCATCACATATTTGTTTTTGGCACGCCAACCAGACTGGTAGAACAAACTTCTTGCAACCGTCTCTAGACGCCTGCATCCGAAGGTCAAAAGTCCCCACCGTCCACACGTTGCAGTGATGATCACGCCCCGCCATAAATGTCACCCATGCCAATGCCTATTTAGCGCCTAAAGCGCCGGTTAAGGGCGTTTTCGTATGCCATGCAAATTCACTAACTGGCGCACACCCCCTCCGAGCACAACGTGGCAAAATGGGCCAGCCCATTTAGGTTTTTTCCTAGTTTTCTGCACGGTTTTTCCAGGCGTTTTTTCTTCTAGTTTTTTCTAGTATGGATTTTACATTGTTTCTCTTTTATGTTTTATTTTTCATTTTTATTTTTAATTTATTTTCAAATACATGAACTTTTTCACAATATTGTTTTTGCAAATTTGTGCACTCTTTTAAGTTTACGATTTTTTTCAAATTTGTGAACTTTTATTCAAGTTATGTTTTCTTTTAAAATTAATGATTTTTTCCAAATTAGATTTTTATGCACTTTTAAAAAGTTTGTTAACTTTCCTGAATTTTCAAAGTAAAACTTATTTTCAAATCATTTTGTGACCTTCTTTACAAATTCCTGAAGTTTTCTTCATTTTTCTTAAATTTTTTTCAAATTATGAACTTTCTTGGGACAGTAAGGGCTACTGAGCTTGCCTGATGTTTTTTTTATTCCTGATTAGTTTTCACGAACTTTTTCAATAAACAAGGTTTTCTGTCAATATTTTTGATTTCAGTCTGCTTTCCATTAAATCTTTCTAAATCAAAAAAACATGAAATTGAAAAACATCATGAATTCAGAAAAATGTTTGCGAATTTTTAAAAAAAATTGATTGAAAAAAATTGCGGAATCAAAAAATTATCACGAATTTCAAAACATTGTTCCCAAATTTCAACCAATGTTCATAGATTCAAAAATTGTTCATGAATTCAATAATTCTTCATGAATTTAAAAAATTATTCTCAATTTCTGAAAAATTGTTCATGAACAAGAATAATGTTTTTGATTTCCATAGTTGTTCGAATATTCGAAAATGTTCATGAATTTAAAAAATATTTGCGAACTTCAATTTTTCCTAAATTTCAAAAAATATTCGCCTACTCAAAAAAATTATGAATTGCAAAAATATTCCCAATGTTTTCTAAAAACTTGTCATTTTGAAATTTGTTCAGGACTTTCAAAACATTGTTCGTGAGTTTGGAGAAATTCACAAGATTCCCAAAAAACTAACAACTTATAAAAAAATGTCCTCGAATTTATCAATATATTCAAAACAATTCATGAATTGAAAATTTGTTTCGTGATTTAAAAAAACGAATTTTTAACAAAGAAATAGAAAAAGAGTGAATGGAAAAAGAAAAAAGGCTCCCGTGAGGTTCAGAAAACCCCAGAATGGGCTGTCCCATAGGACGAGGTGCCTGGGGTTATGTGATTGATCGCCGTGAGAGTTATATCTCGCATATAGCGACATGGAAGCAACTGTCTCGCGAAGAAATCCTCTCTCCTGTCGTTTCTCGGTGGGCCTGTTTTCTGTTTTTATTTTTTGAGCGCTTGATCGAGTTGTTCGTTGGTTTGGTCAGCTATTCCTCAGTTTTTTTGTTTTCTGTTTTATCTTTCAGTTTTTTGTTTGTTTATGATTTTATTTGGTTTTCTATATTTTTTTCATCATAGTTTTGCTATTTTCATGGTTTTCAATTATTTTTCTTTTCTTTTCTTTTTCTCCACTTTTATTAGCCTTTCTTTGTCTTTCTCGGCTTTAATGACTTTTTCTATTGTTTTATATTTTCTTTAGGTTCCTTCTGTTTTCTTAGTTTTCATGCATTTTTCTTTTGTTTCTTTCTTGATTTTCACTGTTTTTATTCTTTTGCACCGGTTTTCTTCGTCCTTTTTGTTTTTTTAGGTTTTCACTGTATTTTCTTTCTTCTTATAGAACACAAATATATTTGAATACACGTTTATCATTTTTCTAAATACATTTAACAATTAAACATTTTTCATGTACATGTTGACCATTTTTTCAAAGTCATGATTATTTTTTTAACATTTTTTGTATACCTTTTTAGAAGAACGGGGAGGCCCTCCCCAGTTTCATTACTCGAATGAAATCCCCACACACAAATTCCATACATCAGCTCACTGAGAGGAGCAGTTCAGAAAGTATAAAATAAAAGCAGGAAGAGCAACATTTTCTTAAACATTTATTGTATACATCAAAAACATTTTTTTATTCAAAAAATCAGGAAGTTCTGTGTGTGTGTGTTCTGTGTGTGTGTGTGTGTGTGTGTGTTTAGAAAAATTCAAATAGATGCTCATTATTATTAAAAAAAGTGTTATACTTTTCATTTCTACTTTCTTCATAAACATTGCACGTTTTTTTGTACATCATGAACATTTTTATATACAATTTTAACATTTCTAAAATACATAATTAACTTTTTGTGAATCTATATTTTTTATGTTTACTTTTTTCCATACAACATTTTACATTCTTCCTGTGCATCAGGATCATATTTATATACATATGTAACAGTTTTCGAATACATGATTAACATCTTTGAAATCATACTTTTGTTATGTCTACTTTTTATATAAACATTGCACATTTCTGGTATACATCTTTTATATACATATCTAACATTTTTCAAATACTACCCCTGTAGCAAAATATATGACGTATTGCAGTTCGACAGCTCAATTTGAACTGTAAAAAAAGCCATATATTTTGGTACGGAGGGAGTACATGATTAACATTTTTGATATATACCTTTTGATGTCTATTTGTTTGATACATATTGTACATTTTTCGTATACACGAGAAACATTTTGCTATACACGTTTAACATTTTTCAATTTTATCATGCGCCGAATAGAAGGTCTCTTGATCAGTTGCATAAGAAAAGAAGATGTGATCAGGCGTCGAAGGCCCAGGCAAACGTTGGGGGTTCTTCTTCCCCAATTCCTCTCCATCTTCCTCTGATTCTGTAGCCACCAAATTGCATCGAACCAGACTACCAGAGAACCAAATTGAGTCAGGAATCGACCGAGAGTGCTAACACGCTGGTCCTGCCACTCTGCCTCAACCCTCAATGATGAACTGCTTGGCATGAAGATCCAAGTGCAGTCATCTCACAAACTATTGTATCACCCAAGTTCATGGCAAACGTAATCCACGGACCACCTACAAGGCGTCACTCAGACTCCAACCGCATCATGGGAAAACCAATGATCAAATCAGAACTGACGAAAGCAGCTTATGCTTCTTGCCGCTTCGCCCGGAACGTCAGTCAGCATATATATAGAAGAAGAACTAAAGAACCAACGAAACGCAATACAACGGCAGCACGGCTACAAATAGCACACTCAACTCAACGGCAGCACGGCCACAACGTCCCTGAGCCCTCTCTAACTACAAGCATCCCAGCGAACTCAGCCGCAAATTCTTTCTTTCTCCCTCCCTGTCGCCATGCTCGAATAATGTGGCATCCCCATCCAGACGCCCACTCCTATATTATCACTAGTGCTACCTGGTGCGGTTCTCTTTGATCACCGCCGCTGCCCTACTCTTCAGTCGCCGCAACTCGACCACGACGACGCTGATGTTGTCCTTACTGCCGCGTGCGATGGCGAGCTCCACCAGCAGCGCTGCGGCGTCGGCCGCGGTGCTCCCGGGGACGGACTCCGGGTACTTGGAGGCCGCGCGCCCACTTAGGCAATTTCTCGCGATCTTGCAGGCAACGTCATTGGACACCACATCCCACAGGCCGTCGCTTGCTAGTATGAGGAACTCGTCTTTGTCCGTCCGGTCCATGACGGTAACTTCTGGTTCCGCTATCACATATGGTTTCAGGTAATAGTCTCCTGAGGTGGGCAGCCATAAGGAATTCAGAACAGTGCATAATTTGTGAGGTGTATATAAATCTATGCATAATCCTTGTCAAGTTGTAACTAGGCTACTGGCAGTTTTCTTACCAAAGCTACTGCCAGTGTTCATATTTTCAAAACAAATATAGCACTGTCAATCTCAGCTAGAAATATTTAACTTGTGCATATATGTCTGCCGACAAGAAATGTACAGATCAAGACGATACAGCATCGTACCGATTGACCTAGAAGTTGCGAGCACTCCCAGGATACGGTATCCATTCCAGTTAATGACCTTGCCACCAGCTGCTTCTACTCTTTCCATTTCGTCAGGTCGGTCTGGCTGTGTACCGTCAAAACAAGAGAAAGACGTCAACGTTCCCACACACCACTGTCCTACAAAGGTCGAATTGCAGAAGAAGCGAAATTGTTCAAAAGGAAGTTATCCCAGCAAAGAGAAATTCCCTAATGTCATGCATGGACAGGCAATAGACACGACTAACATACAGAACCACCAGCTTGCAGTGCAAAATGATGGATATGATGAGAAATGGTGCTTTTGTATAAAGTTACTACCACGGGGAGAGCATGTTCGACAAAAGTCAGGCGGATAACTAAAGGCAGAATCACACATCAACTATCTGCATCTGAGGTTTTGAAAACAAGATGTTCTAGTTGTGGGTATATCAAGCTATATCAAGTGTGACAGGAGACTTCCGCTCTTCAAGTATTATTGCCAGAGTACCAAACAAGACAAATTGTCTATCACCAACCATAAGCAGTTGAGTAGCATTGCATTGTGCTAGTACCTTGCCCCCGTTTAGATACAAATCTAAATAAAACTGATCAACGCAGCTACATATTTGTGTTTTTGTTGAGCAAGATAAGGCTTCACAAGCTCTGCTTGGGAAAAAATATTCCTATTGTTTTGAAGCAGCACCTTGAATCAACTATTTTCATTTATGAACAGATGCAAAATTATGTACAATCTCTGCATCCTGTATCATTACAGTAAAACCTTGCGCATCGTGTTGGTCCCCACAATGACTACGAAAACACATAGTTGACTAATGGCAATGCTTAAAGCAGCAGCCTGGCAACACTTTCATAAACGACCAGCATACTTGATATGACTTGACAGACCCGCATCTAAAGCAAATTATTTTCTCAATCTTAACAGTGTCCATAGTACATCACTTGCCAAGACACCCACCTCAACTTCGGTGAGCATTTCGCTCTCCATTACTGAATGGACTAAATAACTAACTGCCCATGCGTTGCAACAGGGGCATACATATTCTAGTGGTTCAACACCAATCGTGTCTGGCATAAATCTTATACCCATCACATTCTAGATTGTGGTATGATTTGATTTGATTTGATTTGAGTATGGGTAGGGGAAGACAAGGATTTTGTTGATTTTGGTAAGTTTTGATTTTGTTAAGGTTTGGTATGATTTGATTTGATTGAGTTAATGAAAGATATGGGAAGGGGGAGTTGGACGTACGTACAATCCTCAATTCCCCTTTAATAGTAGAGGTAAGTACTAGCATATAATAAGCTAGGCACACATTGTATCACGGCCTTCTGAGATGTTTAACCCAAGAGCCATGTACACGTCACTTTGCGGAGCATGCTATAGCACAAAAAAAATCAAAACGAAAGGCCACTAGACTTAAACATTAATCTTTAGCACCTAGTCTGTGTAGGAACAGATGGATGAGATTCGGCACTGGTTTAGACACATAGAACCCTAGGTGTGTCCATGGAGTCCAACCCGATCTTAACTACGTACACCCTACAAAAGTGCTAAGCACGCTACTGGTAAATGGGCTTGACAAATTTCTTAACTTCAATTGCAAGTGAGAAGCTACCAACTACTGTACATGTTGTTTCAGCCATGTTCTACCATTGAGTGGAAATATTGCCAGAAATACAGTGCTAAGCTAGTTCCCTTCTCCCCAGTTTAGCCAATCGATGGTCGTCTGAGCTGCCGTCCTACTGCAGAAGCAAGACATCATCCTTACACTAAACAGAGGAAGCCATCAGATCGAGCCGCTGTCTCTCACACAATTTTTTTATTATTATGTACGTACTTTTCTAAAGTAGAGCTAACGACCTAAATCATTATACTCCCTCCGTCCGGAAATACTTATCGTAGAAATGGATACAAATGGATGTATCTAGAACTAAAATACATCTAGATACATCAATTCCTCGGACAAGTATTTTCGGACGGAGGGAGTAACTTATAATTTCCATTCAGAAGCTACTTACCACAGATACCGTGTGTTCTCTCACGCATTTGTTGAGGTGTATACTCCCAACCAAACCATACAGACGTACGGCCAGAGGATCAAAAGAACGGCCAGCAAACCGACTTTGCGCCAACCAAATTCAACACACATTTGGCAACCAGGCAGAGAAGGTGCCTTAGCCCAATGGAGAAACCTCATATACAACCCGCAAAAAAAAAAGAGAAACCTCATATACGTGTAGTGCCGACACCTTTTCGGCACGATTAGCACCCACAACCTACCAGATATCACCGGAGTTTTTCCCTCGACGACCCGACCAGGGAGCTGGGCTCTGAGAGTTCTGGCGAACTCATACGTTTGCACACAACGCGACGGGGTGACGCGGTCTACTGGTCCCACTGACGCCCTCCCCGACCCAACTAGGCGACACGCCGGGGCAGAGCTACCCAACTAGGCGACACGCAGGAGGAGAGCGATGAGCGTCTACATCTGTACTGTGCTAAAAAAAAATACTACTATTCTAATTTGGACTCCAACCCATCATCGCCCATGGAACACACGAAACGTCCCCGTTTCGACGGAACCGGCTCCTCTACCGTGCCGCTGGGCACGGCAGAGTGCCGTGCCTTCTTACGCAAGAGCGTGCACATATGGGCCAGAAAGGCCTCCTAATGCATCACGCGGCAGCAAAGGTCAACAATTAACTATTTTCTTTTTTGCTAAAAAACTAATTAACTACGTACTTCCCAACTCTTAAGAAAACTATTTCCCTTGTCTAAAAAAAACTATTTCTCCTATGAAATACTAATTTACTGTTATTGTCTCAAAAGACTAATTACCTACTCCCTCCGTTCCTAAATATAAGTCTTTTTTAAACATTTCAATATGAACTACATACGAAGCAAAATAAGTGAATCTATACTCTAAAATATGTCTATATATATCCGTATATAGTTCATATTAAAATCTTGAAAAGACTAATATATAGAAACGGATGGAGTATTAATTAATACATATGAGCAACATTCTAAAATGGAAATGAACTCATACTAAAAAAATGATTTTATTGGTATTGGTATCGTTCCGTTTCATTTTTTTTCTTTTAGCCAACATGTTCAAGCAGACATGTGTTAAAGTTTCTAATATATATACATATATATGTACATACATATATATATATACAGACATGTGATAAAGTTTCTATTTTTATTTGTTATTGTTTTATCAGCTTTATTGGCACGTTTATATTTTTGGTGGATTTTTTTTGTTTTTTTCATGCTACTTGCGGCAGAGAGGGCGAGGGCCTCCGCCAGCTGCGGCTGGTAGTCCGCCTCCGCCTTGCGTCGCTCCTCCTCAATGGAGGTCTGCATGGCTGCCGCAAACACCGCCTGGTAGGCAGCCTCCTCCTCCTGCTTGACGACTGGGGGCGGCGGGGGTTGGTGTCGTGGTGTTGGATGCTGCGGCGCCGTTGCTCCTCCGGTATCTGATGCTGCTCCGACATGAGTAGCTCCCGCCGCCTGTGCATCTCCACCGCATGTGCCCGCTGCGACCGCGGCACCGAGATCCGATGCGGATCCAGATGACAGTCGTGCGGTACGGTCACATCCAGTTACGACAGCAGCTGCCTGTACTGGCAGTGCCATCGCGCCTGGTGCACCAGAATGTGCAGCCGTTGCCTGGCAGGGCGGGCAGGCGCTGGCGACGACGGAGTAGGAACTGTCAGGGGTGAGCTTCCCCTTGTTCTTGCCGGGGCCGCCGAAGAAGCCCATGGGTAGGGTTTGCTATGTCGCCGGTGAGGGAGCGTGCAACTAAATATGGATGGGCAGCAGAAGCGGAAGTGGATGTGCCCCCCCCCCCCCACGCTAGATTTAAAAAGGACGACCCATGTAGCTTCTAGTCGCTGACGCGTGGGCCCGCACGCGGTAGGTGGACGCGTTAAATATGACGGAGTGCGGTGGTTGGCCGACCAACGTGTGGTACCGCGGCGGACACCGAGGAGACGCGTGACGTGTCTTGGGGCCTGAAATGCATCCGCATGGACACGAAGCAGGCACATTTTGAATTTGGGTCGGCGTGTTGGGCCGGCGTTTTTGTCCGCGGCGACCCAAACGGACATGGACGGTCGAAATGGGGCGCCCTGTTGGAGTTGCTCTTAGTATTTTATAGAGAAAATAGTTTGTTAGGGGTTGGGAAATAGTTAACTACTTCCTCCGTCTCAAAATATAAGAACATTTTTTACACTAGTATAATATCAAAAACGTTCTTATATTATGGGACTGAGGGAGTAGTTTTTATGGCCGGGAAATAATTAAAAAAAATGACCGTATGGAAATAGTTAATTAGTTGGCCTGTGTAGCCCTGTGATGCA